TTACATTTAAATACTTGCAAAAATGACGGGGCGTGAGGGGCGGTATTTTTTACTACGGCGGCCTCGGGCGGTAGTAAACTCATGCTACGCAACTAATAGGGTACTAATGAGCATTTTAGTACCAACTCAGCGACATGAGAAGAATAGACACATAGAATAGAAATATTGAAAATAAAAACAAACTATAGTTATAAACGATTGTTTAAGAATTAGTTTGTAACATTCGGCATACCGTGAACGCTAAAAGCATTGTCTTTTTCAAAGCTACTCTATACATCACTAAATTCATGACACTTACCTGCCCTAAACCCTAAGTGAGTGGTCAGCGTTAGACGGGAAGCGTGACGTAGTGGCACGTTTGACATACATTTTGCCAGCGGCCACACCAATATAAACTGCAATATTATAAATTTAGAGACAGACTGGTTCCACGTACGCAATGTAAGCATCTCATTACGACATTTGGACACTTGACTTGTACGAATAACTATGCATTAGAAACAAAAGCGTGCGATGCCTGGATCGGCGTGATCTGATGGTGCGGAACGGGAGGGGATCCACGAAAATTTCCCCTCCCCCGCTCCCCACCACCCCCGCGTACAAACAGTATGTTTCTAGAACTTACGCCTAACACGTCAGACCCAGATTAGAAATAGATCTTTGCATCACGGTGCAACGCGTTTTTCCTCTTTTTGTTTAATTATTTTATAAACCCAATATCTACCCTTAATAACTAAAAAGTTAAGATGCAAAGATATTGGGTTTGTAAAAAAAATCCTTTGTGACATTGATATATTCCTTAATAAACATCAAAATAAGTAAATAGTTCTCGAACTCACTCTCAGAATCAGATAACGTTGTATTAATTTGTACTCGGACGTCCGCTACGAAGTAAGATGAGTGTAAGACGCCAAAGGTATGTTGTATATGCAGGTCAAGTGTGTACACAACAGCGTAGTTGTATCGCATAGATTGCGTACGTGCCACGTACGTGGGATCAGTCTGTCCCTACCTTAAGTGTTTTCATGCAAGTCGAACGCCCTGCTCCGCTACACGCTCGCCACTCAGTGTCCGCGCTCTTTGATGAGCGGGACAATCTTATTACTACGATTACATCGACATAATAATATTTAAAATACAACGCCAGTACGCCTATATGTATTTTGTAGATTTTCTACCAAAAATGCATCATTTGAAATACATTGAGAAAACATTCCAGGTGCACGATTTCAAAACATGATTGTTTCTTTTATAATTTTTTTACCAAATCTGTTTATGAGAACATCACAACGGTAATAAATTCGGTTCTAACCAGTTCACAATTTAAGGTATGTAAAACAATTTACATTCCTTCACACATACCAATTAATCGATTTTTCAAATCAATCCTACAAAGTCTTCCAAGCACCTGAAATACAAGGATATTATTTCATATAATACGACAATACATTTAACATTTATATTAATGCAGAAATACGGTAAATACAAAACACCACTCTACCGCATTCTAACACATAAAAATACATATTTCCCTTCCTTAATGGGATTATATTTAGAGAAGACGGATAGTATGACAGTAACATTAATACCACTGTTACAAAATGAGCCTCAAATCTACGACTATAAAATTCCCTGTGTTATTCATTTTTCAAATTTCGTAATAACATTTCGACTAAAACAATATAACTCAATTCATTGACTTTGGCTCACGGACCCAAGTAGTACAAATGTAAATAAATTCAAATGCTACCTTTTTTTAATAAAACAAAAACAATTTTTTAATAAAAACTTTATATCCCACATTTGGATTTTCATGTGTCGTAGAGGCAGTTTACACACAAATTTCACAAGCACAAACATCCAGACCCGGTACAAGTATTTGTAGACCATACAAACACTTATTGTACGCGGGATTCGAACCCGCAGCTCTCAGCGTTGCAACTCGTTGCTAAGTCTGCTGCACCAAGGAGTGGTCAAGTCTTGGTCGAGAGCATACAGATAAGCGAAAACGGTCCGCCGATATGAATTTCCGCTGATTCGGGAAATTTCATGTCACATCGTTCCAACTTCGAAAATACATATCGAGTAAACATATGTTAGAATCAATTTGGACCACCCACTATGCGAATAAAAGGTGCATTTTGCTTTGCAATGCTCTAACTCAGTATTCGCATTATAATTCAGTAAACTCATAGAATACTATAATACATTCATAATAGATCGGGGGAGTGGTCGGAGCCCCCGTAGCCTCTAAAATGACACTAACACGTCAATTCACACGTACAAATGTCAACAATAGATGTGATGTGTGTAGACGTTACTATCGTTTCCAAATTTCGCATGCAAATTATTTAGAAAATGCCAAATTGCACCTTATTTACAAATAAATATGTATTAAAATTTAAACGATTTTTTTAATGACGATCTTGAATAGTAATCAGAAGTCTAAAATGTGTAAATTTACTCAGTCTGTCAACACAGCGAATCAGGTTTGGCGACGCCAATCCTCGTACAAAATAAAGTTAATAGCCATTCTATTGTGTATTGTAGTATCCTATGGGCAAACTAATCTTACGGCTTCAGTACAGCCGATGCGCTTAGATTAGCTTAGATTAACATCTATCTTACGGACATTGTTGATTTATATTTCCGATTGGGACAAATAGTAACAGTTTTATAAGAACGCTATTTTGCCATATGCTAATGCGTTGCAATGGCCAACCCTGTAACACTGGGCTTACTCCACATGCATATTCTTGATTCCATATCAAAACTAATAAGTAATTAACGGAGTATTTTTAAGGACGCAAACAATTAATATGACTCAGATAAAATTGGTTTAAATTCGGTTTGTTCAAGATAGCGCTAGGAAAAATTTACATAATTTAAGAATGTTGTATTACTTTTCTAAAAACATTACATATATATTAGTGATACCCTGATTTACAGTTGTTAACCGAAAGAAACATTTTGGAATAAATATTAAAACGTTATTTTTTTTTCAGGAGGAAACGTAGCATTGATTTAAAACTAGAGCGTTTTTTCACTGGCCGAAACGATAATAATATCATCGCCGATACAGTTTCATCGATATCGGGGCAATGAAATGTATGGATGTTGCTTTTTATTGACCGACACGACACCGATATATCGACGCCGAAAGATTGTCACATGTGACATGTCGGTACCACGTCCGCTTCCCACAGAATCATCCCGATAAAATAATGTGTGATGTAAACATATACCGGCATACGTATGCGCGACGTGATGTTTAATTTATGTTCGTAATAAATAAATGTATAATTAATCCCAGCAATTTATAGAAAATTGTTGAACGAAAGCTTTTAAAATTTAAACCGATCTTTTTCTAACTTCTTCTTCTCGAAAAATATATAATAAGTTCCTTTAACGTTAAGTTTTCTTTTATACGATGTAGGTTAAGCAGAATAATACATATAAATAATTGAACAAGTGGAATGAAATGGCAATCTAGTCTAGGCACAAAACTCCGGTACGCCGCAATAACGATATCAGTGCATCGTTGAAAAAAGTTTCTAGATAATATCGGTATCTGTGATGTATATCGGTGACGATATATCATCAGCGGTATAAGCCTATGAAAGAGCGCTCTTACATATTTAATCTTCACAAAAATTTAAGATTATCTATTTTGATATGATACCTATCTTATAAATAAAGGTACAAACATGCAATACGTTAAGTTGTAATAGGCTATTAGCTAAAATATAATAAATATAAAATGAAAACAATTTGAAAATTAAATTTAAAATGAAAATAAAATGAATTTGTCCGAGGTAGAATTTTAATTGTCTTTTTATAATAATTGCACAAATGATTTATATATTTAACTAAAAAATATTTTTGTAACATACAACTTCATACATTTTTTCACACACACATATACATAATATATTTTAATTTTGTGAAAAATAAAAAAGCCATGATAAGGACACAAAATTCAAAAAATATAAATATAGACTCAAGTTGATTTATAAATTGATTGTATTGTGTACGTATATATTCCACGCGTTTTAAAACGCGTGGAAAGTCAAAGAAAATAAAATTAAAACTAAATCTAAACTAAAAATCTTTTTGTTGGAACTAAAATATAAATTATGTACAAAATAACTTGTTACAACTCATTCGACCATTTACAGTTAGAAATAAAACCGTAAAACATTATTTTTAAATAAATAGAATTAAACAACTAAGTTGACTTATTATATCAAACATAATTTTTACAGTCAAATTATTATATAATATTAAATTTTGTACGAGGTATTTGAAATAACTGGCAGAGCAATATAGCGTCTTCCTCTGCAAACTTTCAAGTACACAAATTCATCTGATATATGTATGTGTATATAAAATAATAAAAATAAATAAAACGATTTTCGAAAATAAAATTATTAAATTAAAATCCGGTTATTCAATCCTCAGATAAAGTTAATTCATAGAATAAAATACAACAATCAAATCTAAATTTAATATTGATATATGTATACTGTCGATATTTTTAAATCGCGATATATCGATATTCGATATACATTTTGGAATATCGAATTCGTATCAATTTCCTTATATTTTAAAATCGTCGTCCAACCTTTAAGTAATACCATTTTGAGCCTACTACATTATGTAAAACATGACGTTATATTGATATATCGATATTTATTATGCGATGTATACCGACACTGATTAAAAATATCGACACGATATACATATATATATATATATATTTTTCTTCACTTGCCCGTCCCTAGTTTATAAATTTAGGTTTTGTAAACTTAGTGCTGATTTTTCAATCGTCAGGTAAAAGTTATTCATCTGATATTTAGTTACTACATCACATACGCCATGCTCCAAATAAATTGTTATAAAACACTCCATATAAACAAAAATATACAACAAGAACACTTAAAAAACATTTCAAATTAATTAACCAAAATTCCGACAGTTGGGATAAATTATATATTAACTTATTGTTGATATCTTTTCATCTTCCTTTCCATTTTCTTTCGTTTCTTTTCGTCTTGTTCAGTGTCCTCGGGGACCTCTTGGAAGATCCAGGGGGAAAGGATGTTGATCCAAATTAGCCAGAAAGCTCTAAACGGGATTAGAAGAAGTAGGAGCCAGAAAATGTTCGATATAAGAGCTAAGAGGTGTGTGAGCGACGTAAGTATCACGACATCCTTTACATGCCTGGAAAAAATCAGTTAAATATAATCACGTTACAATGACAAACCCAAATAAATCTTATGTTTAAAAAAATAAGAACTATAACAGCATAATGTGTATAAGTTACATAATCCATTACTGACTAAGATGGATTCTCCACCAATACCTCACCACAACAGGTCAAAAAAGTAATAGTAAGTAGGCTAGATCCTTGTACCAGTTATTCGCTCAGTGATACGTGAATCAACTTTTTTTTTTTTAAATTCTATATAAATGTAAAAAATGGTAATGCCATCCGATATTACAGCGTAAAAATTATAATCGAAGCGATTGATGTATCAAGGAAGATTGATAGATTTTAGGGTCATTTGTTTGCTGACCACACCATTTTAAAAATGGCTGTTAATTTTTGACTGTCTTCTTGGTCGTTAAATCATGTCTAGTGGTCGTTAAATCATGATGTCATGAGTTCAAATCCCGAAAAATCAGTTATTGAGTTTTTCTGACAATAAATTCTTAGTAGGTGTCCGGTGATCTCTTTCCAGTTGTGTCGGATTGCCGTATCATTGAACTATGAGAGTGAGGGAATAGAGAGTGCACCTGCGATTGCGTATATATTTGGGCACTATAATCTTGTCCTGTGTAGATGGTTAGTATCCGTTAAGACTACCAAGAAAGCCGTGAGGTCACTAGAAATTTATGCAAAGCTTCGTCTTCAGCGCTTCGTCGTCATCTTCAATGATGGTCCTAGTAACCCTTTAGTCAGTCTTTTCTTTTTAAGGCTATTAATCATTTGTTTTGTGACCATGCCCATTTATACGTGACAGAGAAACCTATAGACTAATGATTAGCGTGGCCTCTAGTGAGAAAGGACGATAACGTAGTTTTAGGTTATACAATTACCTTTATGACTTTTAAACATATTTAGATAAAAATTTTATTGTTATAAGAACTGAACTCAACAAGATTCACAAATCTTAAGCTCACAAAACACTTTTTTTCTCACTTAAACCAACTTGTAAACTCCTTAGATTGCTACGAACCGTCAAAGTTGTTTAGCAAAGTATAGTTTGCTAAACAAAAACCGGCACGGAGAAAGGGACAAGCAATCGCACCGCTCTGTCTCATTTCAATGCAAGACGTATGGATAAATCTGTCTTTTTCGTGTGCGAATGCGAAAGAAGACGTCAATTTGTCTATAGGTTTCTCTGTCTACGCATTTATATTTATTATTTTAAGATTGTGAGCCAGTTCCCAATCACATAGACTTAAAAAGTTTGCATACCTATTCGATAAATATGTTTGTTTCAAAGTCTGTACTTAGATGAAATTTGTGTACATATATTATGTATTTTTTATAAAGTATAAATGATGAAGCATCTGATGATAAGTGATTGCTGCAGCCTACGCACACTTGTAACCAACTTCAAATAAAGAAGGCTTATAGAACAGACGCGTTATCACCGCTGAGGACCGAGATGGAATGTCTCACAACTAATTGACGTAAAGGATTAACGGATTATCTTTCAACGCTACTACAATGTGAGTATAATTCTAGCTCATTCAAAGGTGTATTTCTTCTCACGTACACCGTGAATAGAACTAACTACATTTATAAAATTTAAGTCTACACAAAAGAAATTCCGTGTAACGCACACACCGCATACTGGCTATAATAGAATAGCTAGAATTTGTTTAAATAGATATACATACGATAATAAATTTAAATAGACATACATAAGATGGCTGAACAAGTCACTGCAGAATAGTTATGAAACACAGGCGCCTTTACTCGCATGGACTTTATTCAGGAAAGGAGTGTGTAGAACTAGTGCCTATCTATTTTACGTTTAATCTACATACCTGCATTCTAGATTTCAATTAAAACCTTTCAATCGTTAAAGTATGATTTAGCTAGAAATATGTTATGTAAATAATTTCCCATTTATAACATTATTATATTAGCACTACCGATCCGCCCCGGCTTCGCACGGGTGATTTTTGGATCTCGACCACAGCGCCATCTACCGGGTCCAATTGAATTTTTAAATAATCCAGGGACCCACTCAAATACACACAAATAATTCATCAAATTCGTTCAAACGTTTCTTGAGTTTTAGCGTGACTAACGGACAGAAAAAAGAAATATAAGAAGAAAAGAGATAAGAAGATACAAATATATACACATAAATAAAATTAAAGTGTCTGTCGGTAATATCAAAATAATTACCTTTTCGTTATCTCAAGGGGTTAGTTGCATCATCATCATTACAGCCCTTCACAAGTCCACTGCTGAACTAGGCCTCCCCCAAGGACTGCCACAAACCACATAGTTGCATACTATAGTCAACCAAATCTAAGAAATACCTTTTGACGTTTCACATTAATCATTCAGCAATAACTTTGCACACGCGTACTCACACTATTTAAAATAACCTTTTACGTAAATCCGAAGAATTATGAAGTAATCTATATTTCTTTACAACGTGTATAGTTTTTGTCATTAATTTAAATTTGAATTTCTCAAACTAAGCAAAATATTAAAAAATAACCAGTATCAACTTTTTTTACATGACGTCGTTTCAATGATATGTCGCTATGTACATTACCGTAGTGTTTGGATGATTAAAATTCGTTATGCGAATAATCGGCAAAAGTATTCAAATAATCGGTAAAATATTTAAATAATCGAATCATTAATTATTTTAGTGTATTATTAGTTTAATTTAATTTTTATTTTTAAAATTCCTTAAATTACGTGAATCATGAATAAAAACAAGTTTTTTTTTTAATTTTTCAACATAATTTTGTGTAACCACTACGTAATTTGAATAGCCGCCATTTCGAGAGCTTTCTGTGCGAAATTTTGTGATTTTGTGTTTGTCTTCTTATTTTGTGACTCGGCTTTAACTTTTTGGACTGTTTCTTCTATATTCGTTGAAGCATGTGCCCATGTCACAAAGGATCATTGGGCAAAAGTGGTAGAAAAAAACAAAAAAAATATTATGGATGACTTTGAAAGAGACATTCGTTTTGACTGCATTATTGAAAAACAAATAATAATGAATCTAAACAACGACAACTCAACTAGTTGTACTGATAGTTATCGAATAACTTTAATCTTAATTTATTATAACTTTGCCTCTAGAAATAAGAAGTAACAACAAATATGTACAAACTGATAAATCTTGTGTTTTAAATTGTCCGTTTTAAAATTATTCTGGTATTATTCAAACCAAACTGTAAATGATCACCAACTCTAAATAATCGATATCGATTTTTTTTAAGAATCGCATACAGTACGTTCCCATTTTTTGATTGGCATGCCTGGTACAATAAGTCTGACAGCTGTCAAAATGTATTTCTTAGATTTGGTTGACTATAGATACATTTGGCCCAGGCAGGCGGACGACATGTCTACCTGTCCGTCAGTCCGGGCCAATCTTTGAAATGGCTAAACTGATTATAAAGAAACAATAGATAGAGAACAATACGAAATGTGAAATTTTGAAGATTTTTTCAGAAACCGTAAAATAGATAAAATAAATGGTATTTACCTACATAACTTATATCTAAATAACGCCACATTGATCAAGAAAAATAAACTTACTCTCCCATTCCTCCTTCCATATTAAGATCAAGGCCGGGGTCGACTAAATGATGGCCATCCTCAGAGTATCGGGGTCGGCTAATAAATCTCATCAACTGATAGCATATGATGTAGATTATTGTGGCAACTATATTCATAGTCTGTTGGTACAACGAACACAGCTTATTAATCAAATAAATAAATTTAAGAAAAATGCGTTGATAAAGTAAGTAATAAATGTACACGATTTACTACTAGAAAGTCACTGATAGGTAATAATAAATAAATGAAGATAACAAAACAAATTACTATAATATTCTAGTCATTTATTTCATTTTAATGGCACGTTTAGATCATCGCACGAGCAACTCGTCGAATAACTCGCGAGTTATTTTTTTATAGGATAAGGGTGACAAATGAGCACAGACCACCTGAGAAGGTAAGTGGTTGCTGTGGCCCATGGACATCTACATCTAACCTCGATTACGAATCAAAATGCAGGTGATTTGTCACCCGTGAGGACTAAGATGGAATGCCTCGTTTCCAGTAAAAAGGGTGTCCGGTTCTCTATACTCACCATACGAAACACAGCAGCGTTAAGCTGTTATTTTACGCGGGTATTGTGTGTGATATTCAGCGAAGAGTACGACGCGTTTACATATTCGTCTGTACACAGAATAAATAATTGTAAATGTAGATTTTTCAAACACGGACGACCGTACATCTGCTTGCTACGACATCGTGTCTACTTAACTTTTATAGACTCACTAATATTTTAAATAAAAAAAGATGAAAAGACGGCAATAGAAATAGTTCATATTAAGTAGAATAATAAAGGTAGTTTTGCTCGTCTGAAATTTATACTTTCAGCTGAACCAAGTACATGTTTATATTTTTTTATATATTTTGACAAAGAAAGGTATTAAATAAAATTATAACGATAGATTGGTTTAGTAAATTAAACTATAGTTCACGGATCAAGCGAATAATGACGAGTATGTAAACACCGATACGAATGCACACGAACATTCCTTTTAACTCGTGCTAAAAAAACCGACGAGTGGAGAACTAGCGAATATTCGGGCAAGGCGTTGTTTATACATTCGTACTCATGCCCATACATTTGTCTGTGCTCGGCGAGTATCTAAACATTGCATAATCCAAAGCAAAGACCAAAGAGTTTCGACCCAAAAACAAATTAGTATTGGTGAAGCTTTTTAATGTTTAAATAATGACAGTTTGAGCTTGGCATTTATATAATAAAATGCTATAAAAAGTCATTATTGCCTATTAAATCATTTGAATAATTACATACATTGAAAATACATTTTTTATCAATAATCTTAGACACGGTTCATAAATCTAGTGTTAGCAGGGCCTTAGAGATTTTTTGGCATATTCTTAAGGGTCTACAGATAATATAAATAAAGTAACATCGCCATCATCATCATTACAACCTTTCACAAGTCAACTGCTGAACATAAGCCCCCGTCAAGGAATTCCACAAATTACGGTCTAAAGCCACCTGCATCCATCTACTTCTTGCATGTCTTACCAGGTCGCCATTCCATCCAGTGGGGCCCCCATACTTCGCCTACCGATACGAGGTTGCCACTCGAGAACCTTTCTTCCCTATCAGTTATCGGTTCTTCGAGCTATACGGCTGAACCATTGCCACGTCGGCTTAGTTATCCGTTAGGCTATGCCGGTTACTCTGGTTCCACTGCGGATATCCTCATTTCTAAATCTATCACGCAGAGAAACCCCGAGCACAGAGGGTGCCATTGCTCTCTGAGCGACCTTGAGCGTCCTCATACAGCCAGCCTTGAAGGACCAGGTCGCAGATCCATAAACCATCACTAGCAACACGCACTGGTTGTACAATTTTGTTTTTAAGTTTTGAGGTACCTTACTAAAGAAAGTAATATGCCATTCAATAAACTAAAAAAAATAATGTAATTTTCAACTCTTAGGTTGCACAAAAATAGGAAGCTGTTTTTAGTTGTCCCAAAATCGGATTAATAAGATTTTTTATTCGTCTAATATTATTTATAATAAAAAAAATCGTTTATGAATATTATACTTAAAAAAATATGGTTAACATACATATCTCTGTGGTATGGAAACAGTTTTAAAATATTTTTTTTTAATTCTCAAAATGGGATTATATGTTAACCCTTAAAAGTCCGACGTCTCTATGTGGAGACGTCAATGTCTCCATGTTAGACCGCGCCAAAGAGTATACTAATATTTAGAGGGACGCCTTAGAACCATAGAGTATATGATCACTAAGTTTACTCGAAACCATAGATAAGATTATAAATAACATTTATAAATAATTATATTATTATATAGTTCACACATATACTTAAAAACTTGGTAATATTAAGTTGCTGATAGACACGCTCTACTTAAAAAATTATATGCGTGTTATGATATTCAGTGGAATCTCTATAACTCAAACCTCGTTCAGTTGAAATCCTCAGTAAGTCGAAAAAAATTGCCATTCCCTTTCGCTGAACCCCTAAATACGCGGTATCTCGAATTATTAAACATAAAAGGGAAATAACATTTTCTTCGAGTTACAAAAACTCGAAGAAAATGTTATTTCCCTACGAAATATTGATAATAGATATTTATACTCTATAGCTCGAATTTCAAAAAAGGAGACTCCGTAAGTCGTAGTTAGTAAACAATAATGACGTCTTACTTGGAATTACCCGAAATAATAGCAATAAAATCCGGGTTCTTAATCGTAAAGTAGCTGCCGCGTCACCTGCCGAGCGTCGGCCGAGCTCATCGGGTGACGCGGGCAGCTATGCGTGACATGAAACGTCCTGTAACTCAAAAAGTATGGATGTTAGAAAAAAAAGTTTCAAACAAAAGTTTTGGAAAATAAACTGATCTTTCAAAATAAATTTATGCATTTTATTGATTAATCTGATATTTCAAAAGTTATTGGCCGCGATAGAAAAACCGGTTCATTAAATGGGCCATAAATCGTAAACGGTAAGTTTTACAAAAAAGTTTGCTGGAAACAAAAGATGCGAAATTTTATTTTCTACAATAATGGTATGTATAACTTTTGCCGTAAAGTGCATAGATTCCGAGATATCGGCTGAAAACGTTTTTTCATTAAATGGGCCATAAATCGTAAACGGTAAGTTTTACAAAAAAGTTTGCTGGAAACAAAAGATGCGAAATTTTATTTTCTACAATAACTGTTTGTATAACTTTTGCCTTAAATTTCATTGTTTCCGAGATATCGGCTGAAAACGTTTTTTCAAGATGGCGCTTGAAGCGCCACCTGTTCATTAAATAGGCCATAAATCGTAAACGGTAAGTTTTACAAAAAAGTTTACTGGAAACAAAAGATGCGAAATTTTATTTTCTACAATAATGGTATGTATAACTTTTGCCGTAAAGTGCATAGTTTCCGAGATATCGGTTGAAAAGTTTTTTCAAGATGGCGCTTGAAGCGCCACCTGTTCATTAAATAGGCCATAAATCGTAAACGGTAAGTTTTACAAAAAAGTTTACTGGAAACAAAAGATGCGAAATTTTATTTTCTACAATAATGGTATATATAACTTTTGCCGTAAAGTGCATAGTTTCCGAGATATCGGCTGAAAACGTTTTTTCAAGATGGCGCTTGAAGCGCCACCTGTGGGCCATAAATCGTAAACGGTAAATTTTACAAAAAAGTTTACTGGAAACAAAAGATGCGAAATTTTATTTTCTACAATAATGGTATGTATAACTTTTGCCTTACAGTGCAGTTACCGAGATATCGGGTGAAAACGTTTTTTCAAGATTGCGCTTGAAGCGTCACCTGGATCTGTCGGCATTTTGTGATTTTATGCTGAATAAGTGATCCTAAACCTCATAAAAAAATAAAATTGAATCAGAAATTTCGTGCAATGTTAAATTCTATTTTTACTGTACTATTTCATTAAACATTTTATTTGTCAACAACGTCTTACAATCGTTTCTCTAGCGCTCAAGTGACCTTCATACAAATAAAATCGATATTTTAATTGTTGATAATTTTTATTTTTGGATAAGAACATGGTAATGACTAAGTTATATTTACCTTCATTTAGAAAAATTGTCTTTGGCCAAACCTACTATACTCTTTGGCTTGACCATAGGTCAGACTAATAGGTCCATATGCTGTGGCTACACTAACGAGCAACGTCAATGCTCATAAACGCAACAATTATTGCCTTAAATTAAACGCGATAAAATGAGTGGCTACACTTGAACGGTCAACGTAGTTTCAATTTCAACGCCGTTGAACGGTATTAAATTTGCCGTTGAACGGCGTTAAATTTGCCGTTGAACGGCGTTAAATGTTTCGACCGGGGAAGGACCACGCTCTCACAGAATACCAGCGTAAAATAGTAGCTTAACGCTGCTGTGTTTCGTATGGTGAGTGTAGAGAACCGGAGTCTCTTTTTACTGGAAACGAGGCATTCCATCCTAGTCCTCACGGGTGACAACGCATCTGCATTTTGATTCGTAAGCGAGGATAGATGTAGATGTCTATGGGCTACAGCATCCACATACCATCAGGTGAACTGTGTGCTTGTTTGTCACCCTATCCTATAAAATAAAAAATAGACAAAGAAAAAAGTATACAAAGAAAAAGAAGATGGTGAAGGCTACAAATGCACAGGAAACGTACACTATAAATCTATTTATGTTTTATTTTGTTTTCTCGCACCAAAATTGCATTAGAAAGACGTCCAATGGTTTAAGCTAAATAATAAGGCAAACGTAAATATATTTTAATTAAATAATAACTAATAAGCCAATCATAAACACTGGTCAAGTGCGAATTAGATACACATACCCAGAGTTTCGTACCACTGTACACTATGAATTTTGACCTGCAAAAATTGTGTTTTTTTTTCTCCTGCTTATTTTTCTTAGTTTCATACCGTAAATTAAAGTACTTTTGAAGTATTTTTTTAATTCAATTTCGAAAAGCTTTTTCATTACTCCACTCCATCGCAGCCATACGTGCAACCCCGTGGCACTCACCGTGCATAATGAGCAGGCAGTACAATCTTAGAACATTTTACCATGCAACTAGGAGAAAATAATGATACCAAATTGATGGAGTACCGTAATCTAGTAACATGACCTTTCCTTAGCG